AATGTCGGGGGCCAGGTTCGCTGATATGTTTGTATTGGTGTGCAAGATGCTGGAGAGAGGCCATCTGCCCTGCGTGTCAGATTCCGGATTCCATATGGTTATGGCAGGGTTTGGGAGAAGTATCCACAGAGCTAGGGGCAGGATTAGAATAAAGAGGTGCTAATGGTGTGCAGTTGGGAAGGTAAAGGAAACTGTCGGGAACTTGATGGAAAAAGAGGGTTGAAGAAAATTAAAAGGAGATCACAGGAAATAAAGAAAAATATAAGGGAAAAGACAAACATCACTGTTGTTTTAAAGGTCAAAGAGTAACAATAATATAGAAAGGCTCTTTCGCCTTGCCAGATTCAACAGTGAGTTGCATTTTGGCTTCTTCAATAAAATTTACACCATTGGGTTCTTGCGCTCTCCTTCCAGCTTCCAGGCTCTGTCTTCCAGGCATGCCCACCCCACTTGAAGCAGCCATTTCTTTTCCAGACCCTACACATCTCCACAACCCTTTGTCAAGGTTGAGTTTTTACTTATAGATGAAATCTGACTATCTAGCAGTAATTTTCTGAGGTCAATCTCCTCACCTTTCTTCATTTATCAGCCTAAGTCCATATTACTAGATGTTCTGAAGAAAGACTCAGGTCAACTAGATCTTGCTCTGCAATAATTCAAGTTTTATTGTTCAAATACATGTGTGTGTATATACATATATGCATATATGTATCTTTACATAACATATACATGTATATTGTATATGTGTGTATATACATATATGTATGTGTGCATCTGTGTGTTTAAATATAAATAAATATAACTAAGACTTGCAGGAGTTTTAAAATCTATCAGATCACACATTTCTTCATCCAAACAATAAATACTCTTTGATGAGCCATGACACTGCATTCTTATGTGTCCTCTTTAAGAAACAGTATGAAGTCAGATGGTTCAAAATAAACAACTAAACGACCAACAAATGATACCAGACTAGAGGAGGCAACTAAGCATTTCTTTTCTAGGCTCTGAGACAAATTTCAGGTACTATCTTCTATCAATTTCATTTTATCCTCTGCCTTGGGAAATTCCACTCATTCTTTAAGTCTGATTTGTATGATTTTACGGAGTCAGGAAGGCACTAGAAGGAAGTGGGTCAGGAAGGAAAAAAGGATGACCCAGAAAGGTAGGTCAGAAAGGAGGGAAGGGAGAAATTTAGTATTTATCAAGTTCCATGAGAGCAAAGACCCTGTGTGTCTTTTTCACCTTGGTACCTAGAACAGGACCTGGTGAATGGGAAGGTGCTTGACAGGTGCATGCTGGATGAAGGAAATTACTGATGTTGTACTGTATGCTGAGGGTCATGCTGGATGCTTTTAAAAAGAGTACTGAACAAGTGGGCAATACAGAGTAACTCAGCAAAATGACATGTCCTTCTTCGTATAAGAAAGTGTATTTCCCGAGGTAGTATCTTCAGAGCTTGGGCTCATGCGAGGTTGTGGTCCCAACATCTCAGAGGGCAAGGCAAGGGTAAGTAATAATCTAAGGCAGGGCCAGCAATTTATTGCTCCCGGGCCAAGTCTGGCCTGTAGACTGTTTTTGTATAACCCAGGAGTTAAAAATGGTTTTTACATTTTTAAAATGGTTGTAAACAAAACAAAGAAAACCAGACATCAGAAACCTATGTGGCCTGTAAAACCCCAAAATAGTTATTATCTAGCTCTTTACAGAAAAAGTTTGCTGACCCTTATTCTAAGGAGATACTAAGCATGTGCTTCTGAACTTACTTTTAGTCTAAAGTGTGTTTGGCTTATACTTGCGTTCAACCATGGCAAGACTGCAGGCCTGTGGTCTGTCAGAATGTTCTGTGAGCAATCTGGAGCCACACCTACCCAGACACACACACTCGATATGCTTCATCCAAGCTTAGAGCAGCTCTGTAGCACTGTTTTAAAGGGTGGGTACCTTTGTTAACTCATGCTGGGTGATGTGACTTTTTTGTAGGTGTTTCCTACTAGATTTTCTGTGTAGAGTTTTATAGCACAATTAAGTCCCCTCCTAGAATATCTGTGTGGCAAAATCATAAAGGTGCTGCTTTGGCCTATTGGTGTAATGGTGAGAGAGCTTTGTTACGGAGTTTTGAATTAATCTGGAATCTAGTTGAAATACTAGAGAAGCAACTTAATTACCTCTCTTCTATCTTTCACTAAACCTGGGACATGTTTGGTCATTGTCTCTGATTATTTTCTTTTCTATTTTTCCCATCCTCCCCTTCTCTGACTCTAATTACTCTTATGTTAGAATGCCTGATATTATCCCACAGATCACTGAGTCTCTGTCATTGTCAACAATCTTTTCTTTCCGTTTTCCAGACTGGGTAATTTCTATTCTTCTACCTTCAAGTTTGTTGATCTTTTTTTCATCATCTGCTGTTAGGCCCATCAAAGTGATTTTTTAAAAAAAATTTCAGATACTGTGTTTCTTGGTCCTAAAATTTGGTTCATTTTTAGAGTGTCTCCTTTTTGTGCTTAGATTTCCTATGTGTTCATTAATTGTCACTATATTTTTTCTTATGTCTTTGAGCACAATTATAATAGCTGCTTCAAAATTCTTGTCTGCTAATCTCAACATATGTGTAATCTTGGAGTCATTAATGTATGGATCACATTTTTCTGATTTTTTTTTTTCTATGTCTGGTAATTTTGGACTGTATCCTGAACATTGTGAATGCTATGTTAATCTATATCAGTGCCGTTCAAAAGAATTAAGATATCAGCCATACATGTAATTTTAATTTTCTAGTACCCATATCAAAAAATTAAAAGGAGGGGTGCCTCGGTGGCTCAGTCATTAAGCGTCTACTTTTGGCTCAGGTCATGATCCCAGGGTCCTAGGATCAAGCCCCGCATTGGGCTCCCTGCTCCACAGGAAGCCCACTTCTCCCTCTCCCACTCCCCCTGCTTGTGTTCCCTCTCTCACTGTCTCTCTGTCGAATAAATTTTTAAAAAATCTTTAAAAATAAAAAATAAAAAAAATAAAAGGAAACTGGTGAATTTAATTGTAATAATGTGCTGCATTTGACCCAGTGTGTCCAAGGCATAATTATTTCAACATGTAATCAGTATTAAAAATTACTAAGATATTTTACAATCTCTTTCCATACTAAGTCTTTGAAATCAGGTGTATATTTTTACTTTTACAGCACATCTCAATTTGGACTAGCTAGTGGCTACCAAATACAGTATGTGATCAGCACAGTTAAGAGTATCATTGTGAAGAATATTGAGGGTTGGTCCAATAAAAGCAACCCCATCATTATGGAAAGCAGAGTCCCTAACAGTTTTTAAACTTTATTCCTTGGTCCATTCCTTGGGCCTACTGTGATATGAGGGAGGGCAGAATGCACTGGGCTACTCTTCCACATCACATATGTGTCTCAATTCAATCAGAGCAACTCTGATTTCATGTTTTATGCTATTTGGTTTATGTGCATAATTTAAGATATCTTTGGACACTAAAATAGTTTGAAATCATAAATGATCTTAAAATATGATTCTTGAAGGGATCCCTAAGATCTTTCTTGCTTAGTCATGCCCTTGAGCCCATGTTGACACCCCCTCTTCTAGATTTACTTATCCTACTTTCTAGTTGGTCACAGAGCTGAGCTGTCTCTGTGGGCTGTTGGATCTTTGGGTTGTCATAGTGGCAAGGCCTTCCTTCTTTGACCCTGGGTGTGTGTCATCAATTGATGAGTCTGTGGGATGGCTGCTCAGAGCCAAGATGCTCAAGAAGACTTCCCAAAGTGAGTTGTTCCTCATGGCCTTCAGGGTTAGGGTAGACTGTCATTCTTTTGTTTAAATTGAAGTATAATTAATATACAGCATTATATTAGTTTCACATGTACAACATAATGATTCTGTACTTTTATATATTACCCAATGCTCCCCACAATAAGTATATTCACTTTCTGTCACCAGACAACACTGCTACCATCTTACTGACTATATTCTCTATACTGTCTCTTTCATCTCCACGACTTACTTATTTTGTAACTCAAAGTTCATACCTCTTAATCCCCTTCACATTTCACCTGCCCTCCCACCCACCTTCATTCTCAATTTGCTAAGGACCACACACAACCAATGAAGTAAGTCTCACCTCTTGCTTTCCCTCCTATCTTCCCTCTCTTCCTCTCTTGCTTGCACACTTGACCAGTTTGACAAAGCAAAGTGGGTTGGCACGAAAGCCACATGCTTTGTGAAACTTTTGCACCAGGCAAGAGGCCCAAGTTGAGCTTAAAGAACTGCCATGTCAAAAGTCCAGCTTCTTTATAGAAGAAAAACATGTACAGAACCACAAAACAAAAACCATGACCTCAACCCAGAGCAGAATAGGAGGCCAGGGGTGATATTACACACTTTACCAACCACACTACGATGCGAAGTCTCACTGAAATGACCGGAAATAAGAAAGCTTAACTGATGAGCACATTTCACACGATTCATCTCGGTTGACAGCCCAAGAAAATTCACTTCAGAGCACGTGAAGTATTATGGCCATGGAATCCATCAGAAGTTCTGACGGATTCTACGCAATGAACACCAAGATCCACACTCACTGGTATAAGTTTCAGCCACCTAAACAGACCCATCACAAACACTAACCTGTGCGACTTACTCATGGGTGCTCACACTCTGTGATTTCCTTTTTTTCTAAGACAAAATAACTTGGGGGAGCCAACATAGATCAGTTGAAAGTATGCAATGATTTTGTTCTCCATGAGATGTTCTTAGGGGCCTGCTAAAAAATGCCTTCTAGCTAGGATTATACATTTTTTTCAGAGCTCTGACTTCATAGTCAGAAATTCAGTATTTTGAGCAAGCAGAAATGACTTAGCAACAACAACAGAACACGGTGCAGAGTCGTACCGCCTCCACGTCAACCCCCCTCCCCCCCGCCCCATGCATGGATGTTTTTGCCCTGACCCTGGAGGGTCCAAGCTTGAGAACACAGCTCCTTACCGTGACTGGCACGGATGTGAGTTGCACCTTCGGACCTGGGGCTCTGGGCGGCTTGCTTGAGGACAGTCACTGTCATTCACCAGAGTTGTGGTCTTATTAACAATCCGCGTGCAGGACACGATGGTTCTGCGTTCCCCTGGAAGCCAAACCACAGGGAACTGAGAAGCTTGTGGCTACACACACCTGGAAAGGCCATCCACGGATGCAGATGGAGGAGCATTCGGGGGCATCTTTTGACCAGTCTGTCATGTGAAGTGACTGTTATCATGCTTTATTGGTTGTTAGAGAGAAAGAGCCATAATGTTAGGGATGAGGGTGTGTAAGACATGGCAGGGGCAGCATGGGGCAGGAGGAAGATTCTGGAACAGGATTGGAAAAAGGCAACACCACAGATTGGCTGTGTTCTTGGACAGCTTGGGATTCACGGAGGCCAAAGTTCTGATTTGGGTCTTTAATTTCCAACAAAGATTGCCAATCTCTTTATCTGTTCTTTTGATATTTAAAGTCTATTGAGGTCTGGTCTTGATTAAATACCTGTACATCAGTCCTTACCAGAGATCATAGCTACTTATTAGAGAATCCCTCCAGAATCGCAGGACAGCAGTGAGAAGCAGGTAGGTTGGTCTGAAGGACACACAGACCTGCCTCATCCAGGCGGGCAATCTAGAGCCAATCTGAGAATTTGTTTAGCTGGCCAAAGGCTACATGTCCTCAGCATCACCTGCATTTGGGGACTTCACTAACTGGTTACCCTAGATGGGGGTAGCCATTCTCTGTGTTTCCCCAGAGCACCCTACACGCTGCTTGGTCATGACTTTGCCAGGGAGGCGGATGATTGGGAGCTAGAGAGGGTGGCTTCTGGAGCCAGGCTGGCTGGTTTCAAACTTGGTTTCATCACCGGCATAATGACCACAGGATCAACAGCTAGCCGCCATGATTCTGTGCCTCAGTTTCCTCAACCAGGCTGGTTCACTTAACCTCCCTGTGCCTTAGGGTGCTTCAGGGGCAGTTAAAATTAATTGGTACACAGAGAGTGTTTAGAACAGAGCCTAGTCAGGGTTAACACTTCATATTAGCTATATTCTGTTTTTATTATTATTTGGGAAGTGTGGCAATACCAAGATTAAGAGAATATCAGGCACAATTCTTTGGACCCCAGATTCCTCGCTCAGTCTGCCTCCTGGAGAATTTGTCCTTTAGGGATGCCTCGAGAGTGTGGAGTCCCGAACCATACCATCAGCTCTTACCGGCCGCGGCTGCAGCCTTGTGTGCGTGTAAGAAGCACGGGGCCACCTCAAGCCATAGTTCAGCTTTGGCCGCAGGTCTGACAATGGTGAGTCATCGGTTGTCATCTGACAACCTGGGAGTCATTGGTGTCACGCAGGAATGCCACTGGGCCAACAGTGACACCAGTGGAACAGCACTCCCCAGCCCCCCAGCCGAGGGGAGACTGTTAATGGCTGCATTTTGGGACATGCTTAGTTTGTAAGTTGCCCAGGAGGAAAAGTCTGGCAGTCGGGGATATGGGAGGTGCTGCTTTTGGAGGTTGGAGGGCCATGGGCACAGGGGGACAGCTGAGGGACAGGGGAGCAGTGCAAAGCGGGATAGAGACAGGGCTGATGGAGGATCCTGAGGCTATGCCAACGGCCAGGATGCTTTAGGAACAGGCTGGGTCCAAGCAGCGAGGACAGTGAGCCAAGAGGTGCAGGAGAGGGAGGGAATTCACAGTTGACTCCGGCAGTGTCTGATGGCCCAATCATGTTAGAGCTGTAATTCTTACCCATAAGAAATGGGACAAGTTGCTTAAATGGTAAACGAACCTCCACATATTGGGTATCTGACAGACATCATCTTGGTGGTCAACGACCACGCAGGAATGGGTATTGGTGGGGCCATGCTACACTCTGGATTGGCATTCCAGAGTCCAGGTGAACCTTCCATCCTAACTCTGTGTCCATCAAAACCCACCCACCCTGTGTCCCACCTCCCACGACCTGGCTTTGTTTCCTGTCAGGGTGAAAATTACAAAAGGGCTTCTAGCTAAGAGTTGAGAATGGCTTCCTCCTCTCCCTAAACCTCCCCGTAACAAATACAGTGCTTTTTGCTGATACAGATTTTTAGAGTGGCAGTCTCCTCCCTGCAGTGGGCATAGGGGCGGATCACTCTATTTTAGAGTTGAGGAAATTTCAGTATAGACAGGGTAAGTCATTTGCTAAAATATGGCGGCAAATCACAAAGCCAGGACTCATGCTCGGAATGTTTCCCTGGCCTCGTGGGACTCTTTCTTTCCACCGCATCCTGTAGTGGGGTACCTGTGGCCAAGAGGAAAGAGAATTTGGGGGCAAAAGCATCTGGAGGCCCTCCACTGAACGGGAACAGGTGAAGGTGTATTCTGTTCACCCCCAGGGTCACTCCCCTGTCATACCTGTGACGTACCCGTACAGGGGCCAAACCTCCACTCAGGGCAGAGTCCGAGGGCCCTGCACCATAGGCAAAGCAGCTGTGTGGGCACAGGAGTGTGGAGGACTGCGTGAGTGTCTTGCAGAGAGAATTGCAGTGGGACGTGGGTAAGTTCCCGTGGAAACACAGGTGACATGGCCAGCCCTTCTCATGCCCTGTGTGCCGGCCACAGGGTGCCCCGAGTTCGTGCCTTCCTTCAGCAAGACCGCACACCCAACGGGCCCGTGACTCCGGCTGCTCACCTCCTCCACACTGCACGCTGCACCCTTCCCAGCCGCTGTGGGTCCAGATGAACAAAGAGTCCTGGGGTTTTTCGGGTTCACTCTGATTTTCCGCAGTGTAGTTGACAGGAACAGTGTACTCGTAATGGATTCCATAATTTTGGTCATGAAATAACAGCACCTGGATCAGCAGTACAAATCAAAGGTCGTTTTGAAATGGAGAAGAACCCCACAGGCCTGCTGAATTTGCAAACTAAGCCACACTGTGGCCGTCTCCCTACTGGGGTAACCAGGTCTTTTCCGGGTTTCAAGAGGGGTTCGTTCTAGGGGTGCTCCCTTATTTCAGTCTCAGGTTCCTCAGAGACTCAACTCAGGGGCAGGAGTGTATGTGGACCCACAGCAGGGAGCTCTGCTCTCTCTCCCACTGGAGAAAGGACCAGTTTAGATGAGGACTTTGGGGAGGAGCAAGTTTGTAGGCTCTCAGATGGCGTTTTATAGGGAGAGCTGCTCCCCACAGCGCAAAGGACCCGTCCCACATACTCAGCCACGAAGCTGCCCTTGCAGGCAAGAAAGACACAAATATGCGGCTTTGACCTAAAAAGGCATCTGAACAGGTAGGGTTACTCTACTCCTTTGAAAATGAACATCACTCTTCAGTCCCCAAGCACCAGCCCTTGCTACATGTAGGGCAGGCTCACGGGCAAACACAACCCCACTGCACAGGAATCTTGGGGACTTCTGCTGAGGAGTCCAGGGGTGCCTGAGCCTTCTTGATGCCACAGGAGCTAAGATGGTGATGCCCACAGGGTGGCAGGGGCGTGGCTCAAGGCTTAAAACTAGAGTGAGAGGGTGGGGAGCCAACCTGCTGCTTGGGGACGCTTGGGTCTGAAATCCTGGTGAGTGAGCAGATGGATGGGTCTGCCCTTTGTTTGGCAATCTGTGTACAAGCCCTGTAAGGACAGAGATGTTCTACCAGTATTATTTTTCCATGTGTAATTGTGCAAAACAAGCCCTCTGGGGGGAGCCTGGCTGGAGGTGATGGGTCTTCAGGCTAGACTTGGAACCATTGGGCACTCCTGGGTCAACGCTGTGATCAAGTTCCCTTCCAGGCCTGGAAGAGTGTGTTCCACCTGCCCTGACCTGGGGAGGTCCCCATGCTGCCCCTGAGAATCTCTCAGCCCTCTAAGGGCTTGAGTTGCAGGGTGGGGGTGAGGTGCTAAGAGCAGCCTGAACCGCATAAACATCCACTTCTCCAAGAAACAGACTTGCAGTAATGCATTTGGAAAAATGCCTCCAGTTTTAAAAAAAAACAAAAAACCTTCTTTAAAAGATCTTTATTATCTCAGTGTGGGAATAAGACTGGTGCATCAAGAATCCATATGAAACCAATTTCATGCAATTTTGCAGCCACGTATAATTTGTGTGTGTGAGTGTGTAATTGGTTTCAAATGCAGGTTCCCGTGGCTCTGCGGGTGCTCCTGACCCTGCAAGCGATATACGCACCCCAGTTTGGGGATGATGGACACCTATGTAGAGGCAGAGGGGCACCTCTCATTTCTAGGTTTAAAAACTTGAACTAATCATTATTTCAAGAGATAAAAGTGATTAATATTAGAGAGGGCTGGGACTTCGGCTGAGTTTAGTGTATCAGGCATGGTCTGAATGAATCCGGGCTGTGCATTTGCTTTAATGGGCTGACAATTCCCTCACAGCTTAGGAAAGCTTTGGGCAAGAGAGGGAAATACACCCATCCTAGGGTTTGCTAGAGAAAGCCAATTCACGTGCTAACAGGTGACATGGCTGCATGGTTTGATCTTTTTTTTTTTTTTTTTTATCTTGTCTTATGCTTCCTCTTGTAACCCTTTTAAATCAGGACAGGCGGATTTGTTCTAATGCCTTAGACTAGGACATAATCTCATCACAGGGCGGTGGCTTAGGGACAGGTCCTTGGATCCCAGAAATCAAACGTGCGGGGCTACGTTGGCCGTGGATTTAGTGGGCTGAGTGTGGCAGTCACAGGTTTATGGACGGCTGAAGCCAGGCATGGAAACCAGTTCCCTCTGCTCTCTCATCGTGTGGCGGGGGCAGGGCCGTCATGGGCAAGCCTGTCCCCGCAGAGCGGTCTCCTCAGGGGATTCCCAGAGAGGTGGCCGGCGACTCTTCTGGGTATCACCTAACCTTGAACGGCCGCAGGTTGCCAGAGACCACAAATTAACGGAGAAAAACAAAATTTCCAAGCGGAGACTCTGGAAGCACAGAGGACAAAATGTGCTTTGGTTACAGACGCACAAACGGCCACGGAACCCGTGCCTTGGAACGAGACATGGAATCAATAATTCCGAGCAATCAGAAGTGAGCCATGGGAACTCCTGGACCTTAAGAAGGAAACGGTGGGATTCCTTTCTCTGAAGATCTTTAGTACTCTTAGAGGGACGCCTCACTGATGTTCAAGTGGTTTGCATGGGGTTCTCCCCACCTTGAGACAACAGGTAAGACAAGGTAGCCCCAACCCGGCCTGACTGCCTGGGATCCATGAGACTACACCGGGAGTCAACCTTCCTGTAGAACCCGGTTCTCCCTCTCCTGGTTCCCGAATGCCTGATGCAGAGCCGAGTCTGGAAAATCTGAGTGATGCTGGTTTGGAAATGGAGTCGACAGTTCATTTCCAAAAGGTAGTTTCCAGTGTGGATACACCAACTGTGGGGCGGACCTGTGCTATCTGATATAAAAACAGAGACTCTGAGCGGGGCTGTCTGCTCCATGGGGCCAAGTCTCCCTGGCTGTCACAGGGCCCAGTATTTCCTTCCCGGAGGCAGTTCCTTTTGAGAAAGATGGGAGCTCTGCCAGTGAAGAGCCAGGGCCAAGTCTGGGGAAGGGAAAATTCTCAGGCATGTGGCGAAAGGGATGAGATAAGAAAAGACCATGAGAGAGGGAGGCTTGAGCAGCAGGTGGCCAGGAAACCCACCAGGAACCAGGCGAGCTCCTCTCCCCAGCACCCCCGGGAAGAAGGGAACTGGCGAGATCCCTTGGAGCCTCAGGCTTGGGACAAAGGCAAGAGCATGGCAAGTTACCATCAGATGCAGTGGTATCTTGGTTGGTCCCTTGGCAGAAATCTTCTCCCACAGGCCCCTTCTAACGTAGCGCACAGTTGTGCCTGCAATCTGGTACTCTCCAGGGAGCTCTATCTTCCAATCACTGTTGATGGATCTCTTATTGGTATCTTTCAGAGCTAGAAAGAAAAGGGAACATCATGGAATCAGGGGGCGTCAGTCTGCCTTTTCAGGGGAATCTCAGTGTCCTGAGGGATGGATCGGAGATCTCCCTCTCCACCTCTACAGGGGAAGGGAGGGAGGTCTACAGTGATAGAAGGTGAGCTTTCTGGATGCTGACAACAGAAGTCTGGCTCACAGGGGGCAAACAGCTCAAGACCTGCAGGACCCCCTGAGATAGAATGCCAGGGGATGGAGACAAGCACAGCCCAATCACATTTTACTAAACTTCCAGGGTAGAGGGTCTTCTGCCTGATGGATGAATTCTATTTTAAGGTGTCCAACACTACAAAGAGGGGTTTGCCGCTTTAGCAAAACTCGTCAATTCATTTGACTGCTACCTACCTGGGGCTTTTTACAGTTATAGCCTAATCCAGCTTCTCTTAAGGATTTGAGCGCCCCATGTTAGTAAAGTGGGGGCTCCTTCAAGAAAACAGTTGCTCTTCTATTAAATGGTAGAGTCTGGGAACCTGAGCCGACCACGGATGGGACAGTAGGGCTCGGACAATGCCACAAGGGTAGGGTTCAATGGTCCTCGGGTTCACGCTCTGCGGGCTCACACCTCCACTCTGTACAGAATGTGTTGGAAGAAACAAAATCAACATTTTGTTGATTGGCCAGAGCAAAAATCTGCTTTTCCCTACAAGCCATGTATTGATTATCTGAGTGCTGACAGTGACTTTCTTGTGTCCCCTTCTGCAGTGAAATTCTGTGGGTTTTTTTTGTTTCGTTTTGTTATTTAGGAAAGACAAGAGCTAAGAGGTTCTGGCATTTGGGAGAAGGTCACAGATGATAGTAGGTTGACAACAAGTCTTCTGTCACTCAAACGATGAAACTCCCAGGACACCCTGGGGGCAATGCCTCCCTCTCTGCAAGGGCAGCTGGAGCCCTCCCATGCCCCAATGCCCCCAGTGCTCGCAATTGCTTTGGGACCCTGCTCGGTCCACAATCAGCAAAAGCGGGTTCCATCCCATTCCTTCCTCTTGGCTCCCAGAGGCCAGAAATAAAACACCCGCATTTCATACCGATTGTGGATAATGAGAGTTGAAACCAAAAAGGGGTTTCTGTTAGCCCTGAATCCATGAGCCCCAAGGCTGGGTCAGGACCTGGTTGGACCTGGTCAGGCCACCAGCAGCTGGGCTGTCTCTAGGACATTTTGGTCCTAGTGCTTGTTCCCGCCCTGCCAGGCCGTCCTGGGGCACATGGAGGAGATGCGTGCTCATGACTCCTTGCTTCTAGGAACTGCCAAGAGAAACTAGGAAAGAAGCAGGAAGGGTTGTTTTCCAGTAGAGCGACTTCTCGTCGGGATTTCATATCCAGGGTGGTTGTGCAGAGTGAGTGGTGGAGGGTTACAGGACTCCAGGGAAGGCTTAGAAAAGGGAAGGCTCTACCTCTTGGAATTGAACATTTCCCTTCAAGAAATTCTACCTGCTACTGAAATTTCCTGGCTATGAGAAGGAAGTGAGAATGTAAGGATACTCACAATCTCTGCTCCTTTGTCCCTTCCTCAGCCAAAACCTACCAGCCACCTTTCAAGGGGCATGTTCTTGGATATAGCCCCTATATGTACTTTTACCCATTTACTCTTCCCAACAACTCTCTAAGGTAAAGCATTATTTTCCCCTTTTCACAGATGAGGAAATGGGGGCACAGAGAGGTTAAGTTACCTGCCTAATGTCACACAGCTATGAAGAGTGGACAACCTGAACCTAAACGCACCAAGCTCAGCACTCTCACTACTCTGGCAATTTAAATTTCCATATTCTTTAGGTTATAGCCTCCATCTAGAGTCTTATGACAAATGCAAAAATGCACAAGTGTCCTACTTGTTTTCCAAGAGAACACATTCCAGGCTTGAACTGCTGCTGGGTCTCATGTTCTATACACCCTTATAAAAATAACGCAACTCGCAGATTATTCTTTCTACTTCTCTGTAGGTTTGGAAAATTGTTTCTTGCACACGTAAATTTGGTTTCAGAAATCAGTGCAGGCTGGTGGGATGGGGCAGACAGACACAGTGAGGGGCCAGAGTCCTCAAGGAATGGTTTCAGGAAGAACAAGTCAGACCGGGAAGCTCAGGGAGCGGCCGATATGTTCCCCCCTTCCTTCTCCCTCCCCCCGCCCCGCCAGTCAGGGCCTCCTAGCTGGATGATGAGGACACAGCTCCTGCCCTCAGCGAGCTCAACATTTGGAAGGGAGACAAGTGAGAAAACAGATAAACACAGCACAGCTTCATAGGCTCTGTGGCAGAGGTGAGTTCAGGGCCCGCATATGTATGTGTGGGACGGGGGCAGATGGGGAAGACTTTCTGGAAGAAAAGCAGAGGTGCCCTTGAGGTGAGACTGCAAGAAGAGCAGGGAGAAGAGGTGGCCTGGGCGTGCCTGGCAGGCATGGACTGTGGATCCTGACCCGGGGTGGCCATGATTACTCTTCCTGAGGCCACTGCTCTGTGTGGAGAAGCAAGTGGGAGGGGAAGCAATTTTCCCCCCCAGAAGTCTGGCTGGGAAAAGGAGGCGAGATGAAGAGTGGCTCTAAAGGGTGGAGAAGGGCAGAGAAGTTTCACTGTTCTTGTTATCGGGGTGGGAGACCTCGAGCATGTTGAGACCCCCTCCCCCACCCGGAACTTGGAGTTAGAGAGATGGGCAGAGTTTCTTTAGAGCTGTATGCTGACCACCACCATGCTTGGCCCACCCCCTAGAACCCACTTCCCACACTCTGGGGTGGCTGCTCTCCTTGTCACTGGTCACCCGCATGCACCAGCTGACTCTCCCACTCAGTGCCCTGGGCTGGGGCCTTGGGTTTAAGAGTTGGGGCCCTGACCTTGTTCTCATGTTATGGCTGTTGTGAATAGTGTGTTGGCTGCCTGGCATCTATTTCTCTTTCTTCAAGTAACAACAGCCCAGAGTTTCCTTTGGGGGTATGTTCTTCCTCTAACTGACCCCAAATTCATCTCAGTTCCAGGTATGGGCCCATCACCCAACCCTGGACAGTGAGAGTCAGTTCTAAGACTTCCGTTCTCTTTGGGAAGCAGCAGCTTTTTTTCCACAGGATTGCCCAGAGACTCAAAGTAAATCTGGATTACCAGTGCATGGGAAGAGGCCCCCAGATTAAAGTCAACTGAGAGGACAGTGGTGCCAGGGTCGAGAGGGACAGTTTCCCATGATATCGTTTTAAGCCCCTGGATCCAGCAGTGCCTGAAGCTGATGCTCAGCAACTGAGAACTGCATTTGCCTTTCACATGTGTCTTTTGAAGGTTGGGTTTTTGTTTGTTTGTTTTTGTTTTTTTAAATACTAACCATGATAGGGGCAGGGCAGCTTGGGAAAGAAGATTACTAGTATGGACTCCTAGAAACCACCCTAGGATCCTTAGCAGTGTAAGCTTTGTACCCTGAGATTTAGAAGACCTGGCCTACTCTATCAAGGCCTTAAACTGTCTCCTGAGCCTCTGCTCCCGTCTGGCACTAATGCCCAGGATGAGGTGGCTCTTTCTTACTGAGCCTTGTTTGTGCATTTCCTCGGCCCTTTGTGTAAGGCGCTGTAAAGTGACTTAGTGAATTATACAGGGAAAGCTACTATGCCTCCATGCCAAAAGTCAAACATCTGGGGGGGGGGGGGTCAAGACTGGGAAGGACTGGAAAATGTCCAAGAGGGCGCACCTGGAGGCGATTATAAAACCATCTGCAGAAACAGCACGTAGAGGTGTGGGGGCCAGCCTGGGGAGCCCCGCTTCTGCCGGCAGAGGCACCCGCTGTGGCTGATCCAGGGGCCAGATGGAGAGCCAGCTGGGGCTTGGGGCATGCCAGCCTCCGATCACCAGAGCAGGGTCGTGCCTGTCGGTAGGGGGAAGTGCTGAGAGGGGCAGGTGGAGGAGACACTGCAGGAGGTGGTCTGCAGGGGGGGTCTGGGGTGGCTTGGATGAGCGGGTATTGGTCAAAGAAGAGGGGGAGGGGATGTGAGAGTGGCAGGCGGTGGCTGGCCAGTTAGGCCAGAACAAGGTCAGTGGCCGAATGGGGGAAGAACACGTCAGACAGCGGAGCACTGGTAACCAGCTTGCTAGCGAGAACCTAGATTTACAGTAGATTTCCCACCATCCGTGTGACCCCAGTGAACGCAGAGCTCCTCCAGGCCATACACCACTGCTGAGGTGCCCCCAGGAGTTCGCAAAGCGCCTGGCTTTGCTTTCCAAGGCCTGGTCTGGAGCTGCTGACTCGGGGAAGTCTCACACCATCACAGCTTTGAGGGTGTGGGCGGGGCCCTCATGGCCCTAGAAAGAATAAACTCACCTCCACGGCAGCTGCAAGCTTCCAGTCACTGCAAACGTGGCTTTTAAGTAATCTCTACACCCAACCTGGGGCTGGAGCTCACAACCCTGAGATCCAGGGTTGCATGCTCTACCCACTGAGCCAGCCAGGTGGCGCAAACGTGGCTTTACAACGGCCACTGGGCACCCCATCCTCGGGACAGTTTGATCTTGATGCCCATCCTTGACGAATTTTGCGGCGGGAGGAAAAACACAGAGGGAAACGTAGGGACTCAGCAATTCCACGAAGCACGGCAATCGCTTCAAACCTACTGACTTTGGGTGAGGAATCTAGTCAGCAAGAGTCAGAAATCTGCAAGGTGCTGGGGTCCAGTGGTGGCACTGGGACTTCCTGTTAAGATGGGAATTTAGCATCTGAGATTCCTTCAGAAGGGCGGGACAGCCGCCTCAGAGAATCTCTTGGAACATCAAGATCATTATTAGTAGCAAATACATAGGTTCGGTGTAGAGTCCAATGAGAAGCCCATGTTGTGGGCCCAGGTCAGCTCCAGACGGTGAGAACACAGACCACCCCCTGGCTCACCGGCATCATTCTCCCCGCAAGGCTAGCTTCCCTCAGCAGGGTTTGCGAGAGCTGGTGGGGCAGCCCCTTGCCAGAGTCCTTTCCAAGGCCTTGTATGTAATGATGCATTCTTTTTCTGAAAGAAGGCCCCAGAGTTAAGTAAGTTTCAGGCCCTACAAGTTCCTGTCCCTCTCAATCCTGTGGCATGGAGGGTCTAGGCAAGCCCCCTGTGTCTGTAAGCAGGTTGAGGTTGGTTTGCATTTGAAATTAGGGTTTTTAGGCCCAGAAATTCAACAGGGGCTATTGAAAGGATTACACATGCTTTGATTTGACTGGCAAATAATAAAGTGACCAACAAAGGGAAATCCTGAGTGACTTGATTTGATCTGTGCTGTCTGAAGTTTTGATTTGCTGGGGAGGAAATTTTTGCTTGCTGCTTCTGTCTGGGTCAGAGGCTGGATGTTTTAAGCCACCGTCCAAAATAGAACAGTGCTGGCTTTTGTGTATTTGGCTTAGAAGCCTTTAGGGGCCTCTAGCAGCTAGAGAGACTTCTGCAGGGACGAGGATGGGCACGAGCTCTCTCTTGCTCTCTTGCTCCTGTGGCAGAACAAAACCATTCTATCAAGGAATGACCCAGAACGTGAGGTCACGTGGCCAATGTCCATTTCCCTCCCGGGCCCCTCTTTCTCCCTGTGGACATCTACACATCGTCCCTGGACATCCAGGCACTGTGAGAAAAGATCCTGAGCCATTCTGGGGAGCAGAGGGGGGTAGGGGGGGAACATTCCTGCTGGGAGGGCGCAGCTCCTCCCTACAGCCGGCTGGAGGCAGACTGAAGAGGTCCGACCCCATCTGCAGGCTCTCCTCTTGCATGGTGCTGTGCAGAAGCTGGGCTTCTTTTTGTCTTTCTCCCTCTTGGATTCCACTGCAAGACTTGACCCACAGTCAACCTACTTCTAATCCTGGCATCCCGTCAGTTCCTTTTATTTCCACTCCGGGTGCTGCCAGCTCTGTTCTGAGCTGCGGATGCAAACTGCAGCGGCATTCCCTGGGCCAGGTGGTTTGGAGCCGAGAGCCAGGCAGCGTGGGCTGAAGGTAGGTGGGGAGAAATTCTTCGGGAAGGGCTCCCAGCAAATGTGAGGGAGTAATTCAAGGTTACACTGGGTTGACTTCCAAAGCACCCACAGCCCCGAGTGGAAACAAGGCTTGTTTGAACTAACTTTAGAAACATGACGAGTGTGGACCACCTTCGGATTTGCCTTCATTCACACACCAGGTCCTGGGCTCCTGGGACTAAAACGTAGGACTAAGATAAGAAGACCAAAGCTGGCTCCAAGCTCCCTTGGAGGTCCAGTGCTTTGGGGGAAGTTACACCAAACCAATCTCCTTGGGATGGAGATTTGCCTCCTTGAAGTCCACACAAAGAAGTAAAAGCAATGGGCACATGCAACACCTGTTCTCCAGTGAAAAGACATCCCCCTCTGCTGATATCAGGGCAATTCTGGGAGGCTCGTGAATGGCCGCAGACCCCAATGATACAAGGCATCTGGATAAGCTCCTGAATGAACCCCTGGAGCCTCCGTCTTGCCCTCAGTGAAATAGGCAAAGCAATACTTTGCAGTGGTTTTGGGGGTGGTGAGGAGTCAGGTCTGCAAAGCAAGGTAGGGCTCAATGCCTGGGAGCCACAAAGGTTGATGTTTGTGCAGACCACAGGAGCCGAAAGGAACCAACGGGAGAGCCAGCCCCCCACGGGCAACACTCACTAGTTACGTGGCCCTAACACGGGTTCCAGGGAGAAGTTCATTTTTACTATAGGAATTAGAAGTTGGGCAATCTAAAGGATTCTGACATCCTTCTGTCCTTATCTTGCCACAGGAAAGTACAGATAACGTTCCGAATTTCAAGGGCCACCTGGGGCTGGGTCAGGGGCAGGAATGGTGCTGGGAAGTCTGGGAAGCCCGGACCGGAAGCCAAGGGACTCGCTTGCTGGAGCACCTGCTGGTGCTCTGATGGAAGAACCAAGCAGTTGACCTTGGAACGGTGCCAGCTCCTGGGATAGTGAGATCATGTCAAAGGCAACGTCTGCCACCCACCAAGGCCCGGTGCCCCCCAGGGAGCAGAAATGTCTCTCCCAGGTAGGTGAGGGCTGATGTATCCAGTCGGAAAGGGTAACTTTTGGGGGTGACACTGGGTGACTGGGCTTCCAAAGCAGATGCTGGTGAGGTTGACCCAGTTTCCTCAGTTGGGCAGAGAGGGGGTGGGCTCTTTGGGAATTTAGTAAAAAAGGCCACCTCTCTGCAGAAGCTGCGAAGAGCACAAGTACCACAAGGCTACTTTAGAAAGCATGTATAAGCATCGTTCTATCTGCAGCGATAGCTGGGGCAACTGCAGACAAGGGTGCCAGGCTAGACTGGGACAGCGTCCATCCTGGGGGTTGGGTAGCAAAGCCACAGAGGCTGATGAGAGCCATGTGGGTGTCAACCTAAGGGATGGTAAGGTCCTACCCTGGTAGCAGGAGACACAGTGGCCTCAAGGAGGCGGGGTGGACGGCAGAAGAGAAAGCTGCAGAGGAGGGGACAGGGCTGCTTGAGGACACAGTAGGGACCCCAGGGGGCTGCTTACTGGTGAACCCTGGTGTGGGCACTCAGGAACAAGAACTCCTGGCCCCACTCCTGCCTCTCCCCAAAGCGCGTGTGTGAGGATTAGCTCGGTGTCTGCAAACGGTTCTTATAGGATGGTGGTCTTCATTGTAAACTTGCCTACTACAGGTTTGTTTTATGTCTGTCTAATCAGACTTTGAGTTTCTTTCTTTTTTTCAAAGATTTTATTTATTTATTTGGGAGAGAGAGAGAGAGAGAACAAGCACGAGCAGGGGGAGAGACTGAGGGAGAGGGAGAAGCAGACCCTCTGGTGAGCAGGGATCCTGACCCGGGGTCTGATCCCAGGACCCAGAGATCATGACCTGAGCTGAAGGCAGATGCTTAACCGACTGAGCCACCCAGGCGCCCTAGACTTTGAGTTTCTCAAGCAGGGACCATTTCAAAGAAAGACTTAGATCCTTCATATCTATGAAGGCAGGAATGTGGACAAAGATGTAATTTTTTTTAAAAATCAGTGATAAAAGGTGAAATGAAAGCATTTTGTGAATAACTTCATTTCAGCCAAAACTACTTAATTCTTAAGTTTGAAGCCAGAGAGAGAGAGAGAGATCATGTCCTATATATTCTTGTCAATCTCAAACAGAACCTTGCCATACAGACTGAGGAGATTATAATAGGAGGAAGCCCAGAAGAAGGGTACCTGGGTAGGAGATCAGCCACCTCCAATTTGAAATCTAACCCAAGATAGAACATAGGAGGAGGGCTGGTGGGAGGACACGGGTCACAGCATGTCCCAACCCAGTGAACTATGAGTAGAGGCAATCGTTAGGCACCCTGCTCGTCCCCATAGCAGCATACAGAACATTTAGGGCTCAACCCACGTACCAGGCAGACCTTTGCAAGGGCCAGTGGAGAGACTGGCCATTACGCTTAGGATACACTCAGAGAGACTTCGGTGGCTAAGAAGGGGTTCAACTGAATAATTCTTAGGGCTTAAAGTATGGTTCTGTTGAAGGCAATGAAGACCAATCTGGAATGGAACCCCATCCTTCCATAGAAAGACACAGGCATTTGTGCCTGGTCAATAGAGTTGGCCACTAGGAATTTGGGGTACACAGCACTTAGTGAAAACCAGTGTTCTTTTGTGCTCCCATTAGATCTAGGACTATTACTCATTTTTTCCAGCTAAGAAATCATCCCCAGAGCCATCAACGGCTGGGCAATGTGTCCATGCTGTGCGGGCTGAAGCTGCTCTGGGTTCTCCTGGGGTAACTATGGGGGACTTTCGCTACCCCAATTCCTCGCTTCCTTCCTACTGATCCCCCCCCTTTCCCCATCCACCTTGGGGGGTGGCTACACTTCAGCCAAATAGGACAGGAACATATGGTGCACTGTGATTACTTCTATCGTTATACCTCGGATACGAGTATAAAACCCACGACCTGGGAGAATGATGCTGGACCACATAATCAGCCTGATCATCCAAATCTCAGAACATAAATCATGAGTCAGATTCTTTTTGTTTTACCTAGAAAACTGTGGGCAGGTTTATCCTCCACCACGCGAATCCTCCGAGCTCCCGCCGGAATGATAGCAGCTTCGATATAACCTGTGGTGTCAGAGAACAAAAAGGTGAAGCATGCCTCCACCCCCAGCAGAGGCCCACATAAAACTCCCTACCAAAATCCCCCCACCCACCCCCCACCCACTCCCATGGTGATTTCAGAGCCTGCTGCTCGCCCGGCTCTAAAAAATCAACTAACAAGGAGCGTTCTTCTATGGCCAGAACCTCCAGGCTGCCCAAATTCCAGGGAGCACCACTCCTGTGTGTCGAGAGTTGAATTGCATCTCCCCCACCCACCCCCATTCTTAGGTTGAAGTCCTAATCCCCACTACCTCACAATGTGACCTGATTTGGAAATTGGGCCTTTGCAGATGTGATTCGCTACGATGAGATCCCACTGGAGTAGGGTGGGCACTTTATCTTATAAAGGGGAAATTCGGATGCAGACACACACACACACACAACTCCTTGGAAGCACAAAGCAGAGATCAGGGTGATGCATGTACAAGCGAAGCCACCAGAGGCTAGGGGAGAGGCATGAAGCAGATTCTTCCTTCCAGCATTCTGAAGGAAGCAACCCTGCCCACACCTTGATCTTGGACTTGTAGCTTCCAGAGCCATGGGACACGAACGGTCCATTGTTTATACCACTCAGGTTGTGGTACTTGGTGACAGAGGCCCTTACAGACTGAGACAGCCTGGAATCCTGCAGGGACAGCCCCTCCCTGGAGCACAAGGGCAGCGTGCCCCTGTCCACTCCATCTGCGGGAGGTTCCTTTGGGCTTTGCTGTACTCTGAGCCCCAAATCCATGGAATGATGGCAGAAGCTAAGCTCCGTGCCCAGTGGCAAAACCACTTCTTAACACACAGTGAGCCATTGCCTGCTTCCACTGATCTCTGGGCATTTCTGCAACTCTCCCAGTGCATGCTTTGTCTATCTCCTTGAGTATTTCCAACTAATACAGGAGGTCCTCAGAGGCCTTCCTCTGCCCATCCTCTGACCCCACATGTGCCCAGACAGTGGGGGATAATGAAGATTCAGGGAGGGTATGACCGAGGCTGCCGGACAGGTCAGTCACTGGCTACCGCCTGGTTAACTGGGTCAATAAATGAGCCAAGCACTATGGTGAGATTTTGAAATGCAGGCTGGTAATCATTTTGTTTTGATTTTCATTTGGGTTTTAGACAAGGGTTATATGTGTTTGCTTCAGCAATTAAGATGATGATCCCAAATTAGATTGTGAATCCTTCCGCTGTGGTTCCTAAATGTGATCCTCAGAGTCAGCAGGGGAGCATTAAAAAGGAGAGCTTTCTGAGCCCAGCTATGTAGAGATTATGGAAATACCTATTTGTGTGAGGTTGGTTTATTCCCTCATTTTCTCACAGTAAAACGAGCCTTATTTTTATTATAAAAATAGTACATGATAATTCAAACCACAGAAGGGGGAAAAAAAAGCAAAGCAAGATGAACCCGTACCATGTTGCATTACAGAAATTATCCCTAAAAAGCCAAAATTTTGGAGACTAGCCTTTTCAGCATCTATTAATGCATATAAAAATACATACACCATTTTACATGAATAGGTTATCATATGGAGTTTTAAAAGAGCAGGGACAACTTTAAAATAATTAGAGTTTTGCTAGGCAGTATGTGCCCAAGATACAAAATTCAAGTTACAAAAGGTTATAGTAGAGGGGCGGAGCAAGATGGCGGAGGAGTAGGAGACCTGGATTTCGTCTCCTCTCAGGAATTCAGCTGGATAGGGATCAAACCATTCTGAACACCTACAAACT